TGAATATTATCTTCAAGGTTCTGGACTGTTGGTGTAGCTTTTGGTTGCTTTTGGTTGCACACCAGTAAAATTACCTCAAGATAGTGTGGGGACATCGAATAGTGGTGAAACCACAAAAGATAAGGGGAAGGAGGAGGTGACACATAATATAGAAACTGCTATAACTCAATCCTCTGGATAATAAAGGAGCTAAAGTGACACTATCTCTGGATGCAACTAAAACCTTTCATAATATTGAATTGCCTTATTTGTGGGCAAATATTTCAGCCCCAAGTTTATTAAATAGGTTAAATTAAATTAGAATAAATAAATAATTAGAATAAATAACAGTCTCTTCACAGTTCCTAACAGTTGGAATTACAACTTAGTACACGTCAAGGGTGTCCCCTATCCCAGTAATTCTTTGCAATACTGATTTATTGGCAGCAATGGTGGGACAATACTCATGCAATGGCCTCGAGATACAGGCAATGTCAAATGGTCAGAGATATTTAGAGCTATTTCCTGTGTGTGTTCCTGTGCCTCTGCTGCTTTGACTCGGATCTCCTTGACTACACCAGCCGTGTTCCTGGTGATTACTCCAGCTGCATCTATACCTGCTTCCTGCTTCCTTGGAGACCAGCTTTGGGACTTACCCAGGCACTGTGTCCTGCACCCTCAGGCACCGGTGCTGCTCTCTGTCCTCTCACTCCCTGTCTCCACTCTCAGGGGTGTGGGACAAGAGTTGCAAAGGAGGCCTCCTCAACTACTCGGTTCTCTACCAGGTACGTGATAGCAGGTCTATGGGGTAGTCTTAATTGTATAAGATTTTATACATTTTATCTTGTGATGTTCTAAGTTGATAAAATATTGGAAAGATGTTGTTCTGTATATTAATAGAGATGTTTTTGAAACAAATGTAGCATGTAATCTTATATATTTATATTTTGGGGCATTTAGAGGTTCCAGAAAATCAAGTAAATTTGAGATTAGGGCTTGGTAGAACATTGTTTCTTGCTAGAAAATTGATTGCACAAAACTGGGTTTTGCTACATACACCGACAGTGATGGAATGGATATCAGCAGCAAATTTAAATTTGAAATTTGACAGTTGAAATTTTAGCATAAGGGAGCTCTAAACAGGTTTCAAAAGATTTGGGTGAAATGACTTCAGTTACCTGGACTAGTTTGGAATTGGTGAGAATATGAAAGCGCTACAAGCTCGGCAATGTTGGAGTAAAGGACCAGAGGTATGGGATAGATTAGAATGTGCAATGTTTTAAATAAATATAAAGTTGGGTTTGCTTTGCTATGTTTGTTTTATTATTTTGTGCATGGGGTTTGTTTTGTATTGTGAGGTTTTTCTATGGTATACAGTATGTGTTTGTCTGGCAAAAAAATTAAATATGGATAAATAAATCAATAAATTAAATATGGATTTTGTAATCTCCAATACCTGCAGTCCAAAGTGGTGTCTTCTGGGCATTATGTGGCAAGCTAGATCTTGGTACAACCTAGAAAATGTTCCTATGCTTGCTGCTTTTAAAAACAATAGTTTTAAATTGGACATCCAACTAGATATTCACTAGTGTCAAGAAGGCTCATAAATAAAGTGTTACTTCTTTAGGCTAGGTTCACACCTAGGCGTATCGCGGTAAAAAAAAATGCGCGACAAACGCGCGTTTCCGAGGGCTACCTGGCTGTATCCCAATCGATACGCGCGGCAAATACTCCCCAAAGAAGCTCCTGTACTTCCTCGGGCGTAGGGCGTTTTGTAGCGCGTTCATACGGTCTGTAATATGCCCAGGTGTGAACCATACCCATAGGAAATAATGGGATTTCGGTGTTTGAGCATATTGCGGAGCGTAGGAACGCGCTACAAAACGCCCAGGTGTGAACCGGGCCTTAAAGAATAACATATGAGTCTAAAAGATGTCCAATTAAATGTTACTAAATCTGGTGTGAATGGCTTTCCTGTCCCAACTCCTGTGATACTTAATGTTTTCACCTATAATATTGGGCTTCCAATGTCTACAGTATACGCCTCCTTCCCACCATATCCATTTGTTTACACCCGAAAGAAAAAAATACACTCACAACTGCTTAATTACAATGAACTCCCTTTATTGACAACCATTGAATACACGTATACATTTTTTAACCACACAGTACCCTTTGTTTATTGCTTAGGCTATTGCTTTATATAACTTTAAACACAACATTTTTTAATGTTTTATGTAATGTTTATTCTGCTCCATGTTCATGCTCAAATCCTCTGTCAGGCTTGACTATGAATAACATATTTCTGTAAATTTTGATTTATCACACAATTCCAGCTGACCTTAAAACTGGATCTCCGCTTGGCCCAATACCGGGTACTGGGTTTTATACCGGGTATGGTTCTGTAATACACTGTAGTAGACAGAGCTACTACAGTGCTTTACATTGATCTTCTGGGGTCCTGGTACTGTGGTAGGCTTATCGACTTCCCCTCTGCTGTGAAAACAAAGAGGGTCACTTGCTCGGTGCAGTGGCCATTCAGCAAATGCCTAGTATTTAAATCAATAAAATATCCACCTCCCCCTGCAACAGCGTACCAAATGTAGTTCCATGTAAAATCCCCTTGGGATAAAATACCCTGCTTTACCGCCCTCTGAAAAGCTATCCACCTCGGATCCCTTTTCAGAGCAGCAGTAAAGCCCAGCACTGATGAGAACAAGGCCTAATTGTCCCTGAAAGCCAGTAGTAAAAATTCTAAATAACAAGAAAACAATGAGAATGACATTGTACACAGTGTAGCACCTGTTACAGAGCAAATGTTAATATTTCATTCTTGATTTAGCATTCGGAATGCGGAACTGTATGTAAAGACAGTGTTTTTATATGTGAGGCACAGGATTCTGCATGTCCTGAGAGATACATTTGTATTAAAGAGAGCAACACTCCTGGACAAAAGTGGTTCTTTATATTGCTTAAAGGAAGTGTTTTAATTAGTTGTTCCCTGGTTGCGGAATGAGGTAGAAGAGCCTTGCTCTCTCAGTAAAATGACTCATATTTTCCATATGGAAAACTGGCCGTAGTCTATACATTTAATGGGCTGTGGTTAAACCATCTTTTGAATGTAAATGTTCATTTTTAGAAGCCATATGCTTGAGACACAAAGGCACACTTGAGCAGAGAAATGCAACAAAAAATGTATTATTTTTAATTTCGCATAATTGTACAAAGCCTACATTTTATATTACTTCATAAAATGCATTTTATATATTTCACATCAGACCCTACCCTAGGAGTTTATAATCTAGCGTTCATAGCAAATTCACATAAGCTTCCACACATATCAAGAGCATGTTGCACTGGAACTATGCTGGACTATCAGTATGTTTTTGTGTTAAGGGAGAGAACCTAAGCGAGTACAAGTTTCTTTAGGACACAAGGCGAAAGGCCAAAGTGCGACTCTCACTTCCTTCCTGTAGCTGTGAACTTTTTCAGCAGCACAGGTTGCAGGTCCTGCCCTTTGAGCACCCCCCTCCTGCTGAAGCACCCAAGCAGACTGCCTCTTTTGCCAACTCCTCAGCCTAGCCATGGATGGAACCCACACGATGGCACACGGAGCACACCCAGTTTGAGTCCTGGTGGCATCTGCATATATACACTGATCAGCCATAACATTATGACCACCCACGTAATGTTGAGTAGGTCCCCTTTTACCACCAAAATAGCCCTGACCTGTCGAGGCATGGACTCTACTAGACCACTGAAAGTATGATGTGGTATGTGACATCAAGCCTTTATTACCAGATCCTTTAAGTCCTGTAAGTTGTCTCCATGAGTCTGATGTTTTTAGCACATCCCACTGATGCTTGTTTGGATTGAGATCTAGAGAATTTGCAGGCCAAGTCAACACATTGAACTCGTTGTTATGGTCCTCAAACCATTCTTAAAGTGACATTAAAGTCAAAAAACTGTTTCCCTCCCCTCAATGTTAATTAAATTAAATAAAATTCAGTTTTGAAGTTGCTCTGACCCAGTTGTCTAGCCATCACAATATGGCCCTTGTCAGAATCACTCAACTCATCCTTACGCTTGCCCATTTTTTCTGCTTCCAACACATCAACTTCAGGGACAAAATGTTCACTTGCTGCCTAATATATACCACCCAATTTCAGGTGCCATTGTAATGAGATAATCAATGTTATTCACTACACCTCAGTGGTCATAATGTTACATATATTATAGTTGCTATGTCCTCATGGTCTGATGAACATACTGCATACATAAATATACTTAATATGCTATATAAAAGATACCTGCTGCTGTCTTGTATTAATATGCTTAATATGTCTCGTATTCCATTCAAGTAGCAGACCTGGACAATATTTTTAAGGGCTTTTGAACAAAATTAGCTGAATTAATGATGGCATCATAGACTGTTTTAATGAACGATTTTTCAGAATTTTGTATGAACCTTTGAACAAAATTCTAATCATGTATGGCTAGCTTTATATAGTTGCTACATTGTCACAGCCTGTGAAATGCTGCAGGCATCATTCCTCTAGGTTTTTAGTAAACCAAACACTTCACTAAGTGCTTGTGTGTCCTGAGCCATTACAAAAAAAAATTTACAGTGGAACACAAATACTCACAGATATCCACTTGAATCAGCCTGATTGACTGCATTTCTCAAATCCAGCCGATCAATGTTCTCATTTGCATGGTTTACCATATAGATAATCCTGTTGCTTCATTTTGGAGTTATTTTGGCACACACATTAGGTATGTGTACTGTATGTACTTTTGTTTCTCAGATTCATATACTCTTAAAACAACACATAGTTGCATTTTATTGTTTGCTTCTGTAGAATAGTTTTGCCTTGCAATTGCTCCAGGCATGTAGCACATGACCATAGAGTATACAATTTAGGTTCATTTATATCAGCTTTTAATTCCACAGATTTCTTTAGCTAGTTGTGTCCTGGTATCTCCTCTTTTCCTCCCCTAGTCTCTCTCCCTCCCCCTCTTCCTGTAACACAAATCTGGATCAGTTGCATTTTCAGACACAGTTCATCCTCGTCACCCTGCTCACACATCAGGAGATTCTCTGGAAGAAACTTTCTTTTTAAAACCATTCTACTTCCTCTACCTCAATCTTACTAATCTTTAACACCTCAAGGCATTTTAATTTACGATTCATAACTTCCTCTCTTTTCATAGTCCTGAACTGGCTGAAAACTTTCTCTGTTGAGCGTGCAGAAATGTTTTATTGTGTTTTCTTTCTTTCTACTTAGGTCATCAAAAACTAAACACATATTCCTGCAGTTCCTCTACTAACAAAAAAATAAACTTTGCTATCCCAGACACACTTCCAATATATTACATCTCCTCTCATTATTCTATCCTATTCCCTTACTCACTTTTTCTCCCCATTATCTTTTATCTGTCAATCTGTTGGTGTAGCCCCTGCCTGGGGATGAGTGGACAGGAGGGAGACGAGGGCTCCAGTGGCTTTTCTCTGGATAAAGAATTCCTTCGTTCATTGAAAGGGAAGCTTTTGCTGGCAGAGCTGGTAAGTGAATTACATTTTATCACTCATATGTAGAGCTGGCATCAGACACTGACCAGAATTGAGTATTGTAAGGGTAATAGGTGGGCACCCTTACCACCAATTAATTTTGGGCAGGAATAACAGCCTAATGCCCCTAAGGATGATAGTTCTGTAGGGAACCTGGTTACTTCTTTTGTTAGGTTAGCCACAGACCAGTTGATGTCTCATCATCAGGTGATGAAGAGAGATGAGGTAAGCAGCCATCCTTATTGTGATCACCACTATGCGAAGCCCTCATCAGCTCTTAGAATGCTTATAGACAGGCAGATGTATACAGAACCCAATAGGCAGCAAGACATCTCTACATCCTCCTCCATAACACCCGCTACATTTCTCTTTCTGACTTGATGGACAAACAGAATCAATGCAGTAAAGTGTCACACCCTTTCTTATATACAAAGGGATTGGCACACAGGTGCTGCAATAACAAATATATCTGAGAGTCTGATGTGTCTTTTGTCGCATACTTGTTGACCTTTACCTATCGCAAACATTGCCCAATCACCACAATCAATGTTCAAAATGTTTACAATTATTAGGTTGTATATGGGCACCCACTAAAATGTGGTCTTTTTTTGGAATATGCACAGTAGAGACAGTCTATTCTCCATGGAGAGCACACGGAAGAAGTTACAGAGATTTTTCCAGCATACTGGAAGACCTACGTGATTATTGTTTGTGGAGTTTCTCATTAACACAGGTCATGGCATAGATAATAGTAGTTAGTCATGGTCAACTGGATTTGTTCTGTAATGTTGAAGATGTTTCATAAGATAGCCGAGCAACTTTAATGACAGATTGCCATTCATTCTGAGCCTGATGAAGGGGTACTTTGAGACCCCGAAAGCGCTTGTACTGAATGGCAATCTGTCATTAAAGGACTTTTTGCAGTAAATATCTGTGGTGTGCGGGTGACAATCTTTACTACTTCTATATTGTTCACGGTGCCGTCCGTGGTCGCTACAACCACCCACCTGCTTCGTAGGTTTACTATATTTCCGGTAAGGAATGCAGCTGGTTTCCTACTATATTGTATTGTTTATAAAGGTCACATATGCCCAATTTTTTTTACCAGCAAAGTGAAGTAACTGCTATAAGTCCAATGAAGCACTGGGAAAAATAGTACATACAAGTAAAGGCACACATTTCAGTCCCATAGTGCATATCACTAAGCTAAGATTGGGATGTTCAGACATCCCAGTGTGAGTGAAGTAGGACAAAATACAGCGGGGGCAGTCATAAAAATACCACTGGCTGAAAAACAAAAATATTGTATGGCTATTTTTTCCAGTTGCATGAAATTTGGCATAGCTGACCATACAAACAAAAAGATTGCCTGACCCAACTTGAAATCAATCGTGGCTAGCCAATTTATAGGCGATTGGATCCAGCTTATACACCTGACCTCCAAGGAACAGACAACAAATTATATTAGTGGCAAGAGGCCGCTGGCCCACCTGTATTATGCTGACTTTGCTGTTGGTTGCTTCGGAACTTTACTGCCATAAGAAAGGCCAGCCTGGGACTTTTGGGGCATCCCTTGAGATTATAAGTACTTGTAAAAGAGAGCATTTCAATGGAAGTTTATGTGCCCCACTACCAACAGACTATGTGTTAGATCCCTATTGGCCAGTGGTATAAATAAGACCTTTAAATTATAGATAGGCTATATTGTTGTTCCCTATATCCATTTATAACAATGTTTTTTTCTGAAATTTTTATTAAGTTTGCCCTGTTATTGCTATACTGCCTTAACAAATTTTCCTCTGCAGGGCTTTTGTTCTTTATTAAATAAAGCCCTCTTTACGCTTCTCGTGTGTAGTGTTGAGTCCAGTTCTGGGTGGGTCAACACTAAGCGATGACAGAAGGACCTGTCGACTCAGGAGCTTCCTAGGCAATTAGAGCAGTTATCAGTACAAAAGGTGCACATGGGACAATTGCATTCTAAAGAAATCTGCTTCTGTTCAAAGTGTAAACTATAAGAAAGAACATAATGAGCTGTGAACTACTTCAGCAGAATAGGTTGCAACTGTTGCCATTTTTGTGCACCAATTCTGCTGAAGTGTCCATGTTGGCCACCTCTTCTGCCTACCCCTCCGACTGGCCCTGAGTACACCTTGGTGCTGGATCCTCTACAGCTGAGCTGCAAAGGAAGTTACAGGGTTGGTTGAGGACACAACAATGCTTCCCTGTAGCCTCAGCTAATTGACAATCTGACCCTAAAGCAGAGATAATCCATATTTTTACTAGTGGGGAGCTGAAGAAGGAATCCTCCTCGAGGTGGCAACATTTGTATCATCTTTTTAAGTATGGTTTTTTTTTGCCATATTTATTTTGCTACCTTTTTACAGTCTTTTCATTTAACTTTGACAACACAACTTTCCATTTGAAAATTTCAATGTTTACAAAATTTGTAATTGTGTGGGGGAGTCTTTTGTGACTCATTAAATTTGGATGATCAGAACTGGTAAGGTTTTTTTTAGGGTAGCTGAAATTATCACCAGTACTTTAGAGCATTCTGGGTAATAAATTGTGTCAATGCGCAAAAACAGCGTGCTTTCCGGTGCATTCAGACTGCATTTAAGATCAGTTTGAGAAGCTTCTGAGATAAGCATCTGCTCTGGTTGTGTGATGATTCTTACCACCTATCAGTTTCAGTAAGACTTCCGTCCATATGAAGTACATGTAGACATTGGGACAGTCACTCTGTTTGCCAAATTGTTACCCGATCAGGCAGTGCTTTTTTACATAGAGAGGCTCATAGGTTGATCCTTCCCAGGCAGGGTATGAAGACATATTCCAGCAGAAAACCTATTCTAATCACTACACTCCCTCCATTATGTAAAACAGTAGCCTCTTGCTCGGACTTCACCTCTCTATTAACATAAATTTGTATGCTTGGCCTTTAGAGCTCTGTGCAGATCGTCTACCCTCGGGAAGTGTAAACCTGTCTGAGTATCCAACCACTGAATAAAGGCTATGGATGACCTCAGGGGTTACTTTTTTGAGAGCACCCAAGCCATGTCTGTCCTGGACTGTAATCAAAGGGGTTTATAAAGGAGCTGGAGTGTATCTGTGACATTTATGGTTCTTTTAAGTGCAGTCGGAAACATCAGAGTATAAACAGGTCTCATGTAAAAGTTGTGCACTGCACTTGCCAAAACATTCAAGTTTAGGTGGATACTTAGAGAGTGGTGCTCATAGTTTTCAATATGCCCTAAAGGTGGGTGGGTGAAACACCATGACTCCTATGTTGGTGAGCACAGCCAGAATAGTGGGGTACTTCGGCACATTAAAAAACTCCACATCTACCCAACAAGTGGACTGGACATTGCTGCTGTATGTATTTACTTTGCTGATGAATGTCTGACATTGAGATATATTGCAGCTTGCAGCTACGCACTGTATGAGAACATAGCTCTCAAATATCCCTCTTTTAGACTTTTTTCTTCTGCTGCTGTCAGTCTTTTTGGTCTCAACTGAACAGGAAATAGGAACAGAGCGATTTGGTTTTAAAAGAGGCACAGTCTCTCCGAATGAGGGACAATTGGGAGCTATACATAAAAAGGTGATTTTTTGCATGTTAATTATTGGTGGTCTGCATGAGCATGGATTCTATGGATTCAGACGTCCTTTGCCTACATTTTTTGTGCTTGAATGAGATCTTCTTTGCCATCTCATATTATGTCTGAATAATTGGGCCTTGTACACAAAATAGGTCACTTAATGGGGATTTTTCACAATGGCCAAACACAGACAGAAAGGGTTGAGCCAAATATCTCAAGACTCATTAGCACTTGGCAAAGTGATTGTGTAATGAAACACTGTACTAACTCAAGATGAATGTGGACTGCAGTGTTGTCCCTAACACGGCTCTCTCCTCCAACATGCAGCAGAGTCTGATTTGCCTCTACTGCTGCCCCTCTCTTTCTCCAAATTTGATTGCTGATCTGTGGGCCGTTGCAGGAGGCTGACAACAGGGTAAATGTGTGCAAATTGTCACCATTGTTCACCCAATCAGAGACTGTAATGTCATGTCTATGGGTATCTTAAGAACCAGTAAGGTTAAAATTACACTCCAAAGAAATTGTGTACTGTTTTTTTATACCAGTCTATGAAACTACACACAATGACAGTGTTAAAATATTCAGTATAAATATTAGAAAATATGTAGATAAGGCATATCTAAACTCTCAATGAATTGCTCTTATTTGGTTCCTTTTGTTCTGTTAAATATACCAGTGAAAGTGGTTTGTTATATCTGTTTGATAAGTTAAAAAAACCTGTTGATCCTGCCAGAATTTTTGTGAGCTGATAACTTCCTGTACTTTCTTCCTATGCTATAATCAGTTACATTGTTTTTAGTTAGCTCTGAGGACCACGGAGCCATGTCCCTCTATGCTATGGACAATAGAAGAAGGGTGTGGTTCTGTCTTGTATCTGTTGCACGCATACAGTGTGTAAGCATTGTTATTTTAAAAAAGGTGAAAAAAATAAATGAATGCAGCCACCGTATATAAGGAATGGTAGCCTGCAGTATATTCACTTTTTCGTTTTTGAGTTTAGATATGCTTTAAGCAGTGGTTCATGAAAGCTTTTACTCTGCCAAAAAAATGAAAAATTACAGATTTAGGCCCCATTCACACTTGCATTTTGGGCAGAATTCCTCCATGAGACTCAGCTGTGTTTTTGTAAACAGCTGAGGGTGGAAAGAACTATAGAAAGCAATGTGAGGTTGACAGTGCCCGCATGCATTTGCATGTATTTAGAGATGCAGTGATTACCTGTGGATCATTGCCTCTAGAGGCAAACAGTGTGAGCCCAAGGGAGCTCATACGCAGATAATCACTGCATGTCCGATTACATGCGAATGGTCACGAATGGAGCTGTTTGCATAAACACAGCTAAGCCTCATGGAGGAACATGTGAGACTGCCCAAAGCGCAAGTGCCAATAGAGCCTTACATTTTTGAGATACCAGTTTTCTAGCAAATCTCCTCATTTGTTTTAAGAAGGTCCATTGTTCTCCCATTGCTTTGTGTTTTCAGTTCATTAAATGAATGGCTGCCTTAATGCAACACACGGTACAAAATACCAGATCAACATATATGCAGTAACGCACCATAATGGAATGACATAGTGAGAAGGAGCCTAAATATTTAGATCTGTACTGCTAGCCATGTGATGTGTGGGTTATGATGACATAGTAGGGGGACTAATAAGGTGCAAACTACTACTGTTAAAAAAAATATGTTGTTATGGCATTTACATGCAAATAATAACATGGCTTTTATTCACATTATTATTATTATACAGGATTTATAAAGCACCAACAGTTTGCATAGCGCATTACAATATAAGGAAGACATTGCAATCACAATTCAATTCAATACAAGGGCTTACAATCTTAATGAGAGGGGCAAGTGATACATTAGGAGGTAGCCACACATTAGCCACACCCCTTATTTAAATTAACCACACCCACTAAATGTAGCAGTACTGTGTCACCCTGGTAAATTTCTTCCTGGGTTCACCTGCCTATAGCAAATATATTGTCTGTGAAAACCAAAAGTGTGATTTACGTATAATACTGAAGCTTAGTAAGACTTTGCATATATAATTAATGTACAATGTGTGTCTTTCTTTTCACAGGTCCTCTGCTTTGTGATATTTATCTGTTTTGCTGCATCCATATCCTCCTATCTGGCGGCACCACTGATTGAGCTCATCATCACCCTTATTTTCCTCATCCTCTACTCAAGTCACTACAATGAGCGCCTCGCCGCTCTCAACTGGCCCTGCACGGTGTGTTGTGAGAAAAGATGTCATATATGTTATCAGATTGCTTCCTGTAAGATATTATACAGTAAGGGGTTATTTTACTAAAAACGACAAGGTTCACTTTGGTAAGTTAATGGTCACAAATAAGTGACTAAGGTGAAACTGTTCATGTCACCCAAGTGTGTTCAAGCAAACATTCATTTTTTTTGCATATTATTGGACATTTAAAGCTTCCTTTTATTCACCAAGCCAAATAATTCAATTTGCTAAGTGAGCATTCTCTTAACATTTACACCACAAGTTGCAAATGCAATTAGCAGTTTAGCATTGAGCAGCACTTTTGTAGCCAAAGTGGGATAACGCCTACTGTACTTGCATTTGTTAGATATTCCAATGCACATAGCATTATATATATATATATAT